CTGTTAAATTATTTTACTGAAACGCTGTCTAAAACCCGTTTTTTATTATTACAAAACCATTTTCGAGCAGGTAAGCTTTGTGTTGGTGAAACTAGTAAAAATCTTGCTNTGACGCTGATTTGTTTTCTTTAAACCAATTGACAATTCAATTGCTACAAAGTTTTCATTTAAATTGTTTTTTGTTTAATTACTGTTAAATTATTTTACTGAAACGCTGTCTAAAACCCGTTTTTTATTATTACAAAACCATTTTCGAGCAGGTAAGCTTTGTGTTGGTGAAACTAGTAAAAATCTTGCTATTACAGTGCAATATCAACAACACTCGGTCGTGAAAGTGCTTGTGTCAATGAAAGCCTGCAGCCTGAGCAGGTAGTAAAGTGCAATCAATGTCGGGTAATTAAATGAGACGAGAACAAGGCGCCAAATGAAGTTGGGCTGCCAAAAGGTGCTATAGATGTCGGAGAATGGAAGACTAGCAGGAGGAGAACAGACAAGTCGATTGCCAACCGAACAATGACCCCGCGATGTTTGCTAGTGAGTCTCCTCTGTGTTGCTTGTCAGGCGACATTCAAGATGTCCGAGGTGGCCAAATAAACTCAAACATGTTTGTTGTCGCTTCTCCTGCCTCACTAGCCTCTTCCAGCAAATCCACTTGACACTATGAGTTGATGCAAACCAAAGTAGCACCGAGCATAGACTTCATTTATGTAGATTAATCTGCAGGTAATGCAAACGGCTTCTTCAGCAAATTTAGTTTGGCAAATTTTACTGAAAAAAATTAGTTTTTTCAACTAATTACGAGCCAAGATTGTAAATAATGCAATTTGTTCAGACACTGCAAAGTGCCATTCACGTCAGAAGGTCGTTATGAGCAGATTGAAGAGTGACCACCGCCAGGCGTGCATTATTCATTGATCGACAGAAAAGAGAATGTAATCCAGTAGAGTGTATCATCTCAAGATTGTAACTTTGCAAGCTGTTTGTAAGTTATTTCTTACTTGGTAATTAAGCAAATTTATTTCTCTGCCATTCATCGGACAGATATGCGCAAGTTATTGGAGCAGCCAAGTGAAAGACGCTCCAGCGCCGTTTTGGTTGGCCTTTGCTGCGGTGGCAACGATGGCTGTGCATTTTTATTAATAACGTCTTGCAGTGTAGAGCGACCAAGTGGCAGCCTAACAAATGAGTGGCTGTTAGAGAAGCAGAGTGCAATAAATTGAAAATAAGCAATAAATTCTGCTCTGAAATGGCAACTTTGATTTATGTCTTAAATTAGAGCCCGGCACTGTTTATGTCAATCGATGTCTTCTCTTTCTTTTCTCATTTGCAAACTGACTGACTTACTAGCTGGTTGGTTGGCTTTTTGGCTGGCCCTCTAGGCCATTGGTGGCATTCTTCACTTGAATGTCTTTCTAATCGCCCAAGTTTAACATTGAGGGCAAGGAGACGAAGCTGATAAAGTGTTACTCTACACCAGCGAGCAGTGAACGCACAGGGCTCTAGAAGCTCTTGCAGTCTCATCGAATTTGCCGATAAGCCTGGGCAAATACAACGGATTAAAGCAAACAACGAACAAATGATCACTTTACAAGCAAACTCAGTGAATGAAGTGGAAAGCTAGAAAGCTGGGCGCCCAGATTGACACTCAGGTCATATCTTTGGCTGGAGAAGACAACAACAAGCCATTCTTGAGTGGTTCTGCATTGGTATTCCAGGCAGTGACGCTCGTAAATAACCGACGCCAATTAGTGTAGTGCGCAAAACCATCAAAGATATTGCCTTCGCTGCTTACACTCACTTGCTGGTGCTGTGTCTTCAGTGAAGGCACTGGGTGCACTGAACAAGAAAGGCACTGGAGGCGAATTTGCAATGCACCGACAAACCCTTGCATGTAGGCCATGGCGAGCACAGTTTTCAGCACTGTAACTCATCTGACAATAGCTCATCTGCAACATTAAAACAAAGTACTCTTTTGGAAAGCTCAATGGCTCTGACCTTTGTAGCTTCCTTCTACTCTTTCCAGTTGTTGCTGTCAATTGAATGAGATTTGAATCAATGGATTGCTGTGCAATAGGCAGTCCAAGTACACAATTGCTCTGATGCGATTATTTGAGAATCTTTGGCGGTATTATCAGAGCTTCAGAATTGGTAGATTTTTGCGTGGGAAGTCATCAAATAAAATTAGCAATCTGTGTATGTGTGTTTGTTTGTTTGTCCAGTTGGCATCTTGCAGGACAGCCAGATAACATGTCGCATCACTAGTAGATAATGCTCTGCGAATCGCATTCAATCGACATTGAAGCCAATTAATTTCTGAAGCTGATCGCTGGGTGAGTGAATGCTAATCAAAATGAATGGAACAATTCACTAAACGTTGTCTTTTCATTTGCGCAAATGTTTGCTTATTTGATCTGACTCGATGGCTTCACTGAATACATTTTCCCTAGCGGTACTTGTTTTCCTGTCAAAGCCAATTAACAGAAAACCAAAATGAAAGCAAACAAAGATCTCTGTGAGGTGGTGTTTACTTATCGGTGGAGCAGTGACTGCGCCGACCCTGAGAAACAAAGCACTATTTTGCTAAGGTAGTGCAAAAAGTAGTGCCCTTTCTAGAAGAGACCCCAGCTGAAGGTGCCGCCTGGGTAAACCGATTTACCGCGTTGAGACACTGTTTCAGCGTTCTTTGTTTTTGGCAGTTTGTGCTTCTGAGCAGATGCAAATATGGAGGATTTAAATAATTGAATTTATGCATTACTTGTCAACTTTGAAAATCATTTAATATTTAAATGTAGCCTTGTTTTTAATGGAAAGACCATTTGCTGAAAAACAGAAAAACCTCGACCACACTTTTTTGACCATGTCTGATGACTGCAGTCAGTGAAAATCAAATTTGAGCAAATTCCACTTGGCCAAACATTGCCTTCTGATCGATTGGCCAAGAGTACACAACGTGCTGCACCGCAGTTTGAAAATATTTAAAACGACCGCAACCAAATTAATGTTGGCAAATGAAGGCCTCCGTGTGTCAATAGACAGTGAACACAGTGTATTATCGAACAACGTTTTTTGTTATTCCAATAATTCTTGACGTCTTTCATTTTTCTATTCAACTCTGAATAAATTGATTTGAACAATAATGATAATAAGTATGAAAAGTTTTTATAATTTATGTAAATAAAAAGTATTTTGCATTTATCTTAGCAACCAAAAACGATGTGTCTGCGTGAATGTAGACAATTGTGGTGAACAGAGAATTGAGAGAAAATAAAGCTACAGTGAAAGTCTTCTGCTGTTGTGAATGGTGATGGTAAAATAGACGGTAAAATAGACTGAAATTGGGCACTGATTTGGCAAATGGAAGTCTGCGACAAGCATCCAACGACTAGGTCCTCAAGAAAAAGAAGGAGAAAAGGTAAATGCACTGAGCGTACTCAACTTTAATCAGTCGACGTGGAGTGAGAGATGACTGCAGATAGACTGAGTGCTATTAATCAAGAGAGCAGGAGAGTCATGCGGCAGACAGTATGCAGAATGATCACTGGCAGCAGCCATCACCAGCGCGTGCATCGATGACAAATGCTATGCCCAAAGTGTCGGCTCGCTAAGCACATTAAATGACATTAAATAAAAAGAAATGAAAAATGTCAATTTAGTGGGATTGCTCGGGTGCTTTCTTGTTGTTCTTCTGGCTGAAATTTTGCCCATTTAAGTGAAGTAGATGATGAAGCAGCAAAACTTCAGATGCAAGCCCATTTGATGACTTGGCGCAGAACCCGATACACCACAAAAATTTTTTGATGATTCCCTCCAGTGTTTTTTGTTCGCCTAGTACAATGCAGTAGAAATTTGCTTGGCAGCGAATTAGCAAAGTAAATGGTGAGGTCTGCAGCTTGCTGGAACATACTAGGCAACGTGTAGGGTAAGTGCGCCCATATCGCATTAGGGCTGCACTTGGAACTGTGCTGAAGTGCAGTTTAATTGCCATTGCGATGCACGAGAAGGCCTCCGCTGCAAGGTCTCTGCACAACTCACTCATTAGACTGCTGTGTGGCAAAAAAGTAATTGACAGCATAAACTATTGCTGATAAATTATTGATACACCGAACATTACCGCAATTGCTCGTTTCTGTGTCGGTGGAGCATTCTTTCGATAAATATCGCTCGACACGACTGCCTGGGCATACATGCGCTCCTAAATGTGTCCAAAACAGCGGGCATTGCTGGCTTGCTTCTAGCTCGTTTTTCAAACGATGGCAATTGTACAGTTTTAAATTTTTTAATATTCTACGTCAACCGATAATTGCCAAACTGCCTTCAACGACTAATGCAAATGAATGAATGCACTGGAGCAATTTGCCTGGTCCACCAGGACAGCACCAACAACAGCAGCAGTACAGTCAGACAGACGGACGCACACTTTCGGCCTGGAGCGCACTAAACAATGAGCTCTCCTCGAATCGCTGGTTGTCTGTTTTATTGATTTTGCTATTTGTTCACTGTCGACCAGCGTGCAGACCAATGTGCCACCACGAAATCATTTAGTTTGCAAACTTTACTCATGGATGAGAGGACTAGCGTTGATAATGAAAATTAATTGCGCACACGGGCAATTGATGAATGGACAGAGAGAGAGAGAGAGAGAGAGAGAGAGATCGGCGTGCCCTCTGTGCATGAGCCTCTCTGCCATTAGCGAGTCTGAATCGATGATTATGACAAATTACGTCGTCACAATTTTATGCTTTGAAAGTGGTGACATCACAGTGGTTTGTTTATTTGAAATCATTTTTGTTCACAAAACCAGTAACTCTTGACATCTTTCATTTTCCTATTCAATTCTGAATTAAATAAAATTATTCTCTCGGTTAGATATTCGTTTTGTGAACAGAAATTCATCAGCTTGACAATGTGCTTGTGAATTTGTTCCCAAAATATTGGCAAACGGTCCCTGCAAAATAAACAGTTTAAACATAAAAAAATTCAGATAAAAAGCATTTCCTTACCTGTTCAAAAGAATCACTTTGATTAGAATTTCAAGTTTGAAAATTTCAATATCTTCGTCAAAATCTTGGCAATACTCAACATTTATCAGCGCTTTGATTAGTTCAATCAGCGAATCAATATGCAGAAACTTTGATTCATCAATGATTAGAACTAGTGCTTGGCAGTACTCGTTGGTAGTGTTGTTGACGGTGATACTGGGGCTGCTGGTGTCAGTGGCTTCGCTCTGTGCCGATCGGTTATCATCACCGGCATTCTCACCATTGTCCTCCTCATCGGCATTGCTAGCAAAGTAGGAGTAAAAGCTCGAGAGAAAGGTAGACTGGTTTGCACTTTCATTCTGCTGCCGTTCATTCTTCACTTGTCTGCGATTAAATTTGATCTTTTTTCCCTCAACAGCAAAATCTTCAATTTCAAAATCATTGTCAAGCAGTTTGTTGTCGTACCAGAAGAGAATCAGCTCAACGATGTTGGTCCAAGAGGTGCGCATCTCATGAGCGTAATGCTTTGTAACTCCGAAAAGACAGCGTGCCACAAGATCACTTTTGCTGGTGATTTTCCGCGGAGAAATGACAAATTTGGACAGATTGACAATTAAATCATCCAAATGGCCGTATCTGGAGCACAACAGCGAGTAACTGGTAAAGCCGTTGATCAAAACTCTTCGCGACAACGTGGGCTGCTTGTCAGGGTTCAGTTTATCGAAAACCAAAGTCAACGTCGAAATAGAGGGTTGCCAAGAGATGTCAAAGATTGGTTTGTTAAAAATGTTCAATTTAAACGTTCGGTAGTCTTTAGAGTCACTGTAGTTTTCTATTCTTCCCGAGTCATGTTGAAAGTGAACATCATTAAACCAGTAAATACCGTTTACTGTTTCAGAGTTCTTTAGCAGGCACTTCCACAAGTACTTCTCTCGAACGACACCCGTCTGCTCAGCAGGCATGATGATTTCGTTGTTCTTTATCATGTAGTAGATATCACTAAGCATGCTGCGATCAAAGTCCTTGCCGCCATTCACTTGACGAAGATTGGAGATGAACTCATCGACGGTCATAGAGTTGGTTAGTCTCTTAGCGTTCGTGTTGTGCTGATCAACATTGAGCATGATGATGGCATAAGCTAAACTAAATGCGGCATCCTCGTTTTCAAAAGGACGATTGTTTGAATCCTGTAATTTAATGTAAAGTCAGTTAACCAAATTAAAACCTCTCGTTAGCGAAGCACACTCACATGCCAGTGTTGGGCAAACTGCTCAAGAATGAGCGAAATCAGCGGAGCTTCGCCGGGCAACCTGAACGACTCTAAGTAGGATCGAAGTGCTTCATCGATTCGGATGTCTTTGAAGGCAAAGTTTTGAACAAACTTTGTAAGGATGACAATGTTTTTCTTGTTCGAAAGGTACTCTCCAATTTGTTTTTTGTCCAGCTTGGGATTGTTTTTTAAAAAAGCCACAATTTCATCGTCATTTGCAACGAGATTGTTTTCCTTCAAAAACTCGATGCCCTTGGCAGGCTTTTGGTTAAACTTTTCAGTGGCTTCCCAAAGTAGGACCTTTCGCTGTTTTAGCTCGATAATTTGCTGACTTGTTCGAAGCAGACTAGATGAATCGGGACACAGATAAGTGACACAGTACTTGTTAATTGTGGTAGAGGCAATATCGCCAGAATCAGCGACTGGTGCAACCTCTTCTTTGACTTCGGTGGTCTCCTCAGGTGTGACTTCCTCGGGAAGAGGCTGGTGCACCTCAATATCAATTTTCACATCATCGCATACATTGTAGTTGTTATCGTTTTTCAGCACTTTCTCGCTAAACTCCTGAATGTTTGAAACATTGACAATCATTGATGCTGGATTAGCGGTAAAGACAATGTTTTCATTCAGTTCTGCCAACTGAAGACTGTTCAGGTTAGATATGAGGGCTTCAAAAGACAACATCTGAAGTGTTGTAAAGTTGAGTGCTGTCGTGGAGATGTTGTTTAGAGTACTAGAGTTGGTAAAACAATTCTTAGAGAATAGTTGAAGCAAGTCCTCGAGAATATTTGATGAATATGGGTCACAGTCAAAGTTGAAGAATAATTCATGTGGCAGGAATGGAATGTGGCGAAAGAGAAGCAATAAATGTTCAATGCAAGTATCACGAAGTTCCAATGGGGCATTCATCGTAGTGACAATTTCCATCAAACGAAGCAAAATGGCTTCAAACTGATACTTCAAATGCATTCTCAGGTTGACAAAAACGAGAAAGCCAAGACGAAGAACGTTGGTGAAACTGTGTACATTTTTCCCATCCTGAAGCAGTTGCATAATATTCCAGCAAAGGTCGGTTTTGACGACGTTCAGAAGAATATACTTGCTACCAATTTCCTGGACAGCAGTCTCAAATATGACAATCAAAAGATTGAGACCCACTTGAATCATGCTGTCGCTGTTTTGACCATCCGGCAATGGGTTGATTAGCGATGTTAGATAGCAGAGAAGTTCGTGAATGCACGCCAAACCGTAGTTCTTTAGATTGGCATCTTAAAATATTGTTAAATGAAGAAAAAAAG